AAGCTGCTCCTCACTCCTCACGAACTTCAGTACAATATTTCCCTTGTTGACATTCTGTCGAAGTAGCCAGTATCTCGTGCTGATGAACTTGCTGCGGCCTCGAAACATGGAGTTTCCTGCTGTGCTCATAGCTCCCGTAGAATCCGAATGAATCGGAATATTTCCACATGGAAATCCAAGCTCCGATAGTAGATCTACACCTTGCAGAAAGATGGCTTCCCTAGCTGCTGCAGCCATTGCAATGATCTCCGCATGTACGCTTGACTGAGCTGTTAGCTTCTGCAAAGTTGATGCTGCACTGACGACGCCTCCCGCCAGTATGAAGATGTATCCAGTAGAAGAACGCTTCTGAAGTCTCTCGCTCGATCCAGCGAAGCTCGCGTCACAGTAGCACTTCAGGTCCCATTGTCCTCTCCTGAACTTCAGTGGCATATCCGGGCATCCTCGAAGGTATCTCAGCACTCTCTTTGCTCCGACCATATGTTGATTAGTAGGCTTGTTCATCCCTCTGCACAGGACCATCACGGCATATCCAATCTCCCATCTCGTTGTGTTAGTCAGGAAGAGTAGACTTCCGACAATTCCTTGGTAGAGTTTCATGTCCTCTTCGTTTAAACATATAGCGTTCTCCGGCTCTTGTTCGATTTCCGGTCCGCTCCCTGGAGTTGCTGCTGGTTTGCAATCCACCATCTGGTACTTGTCCAGAATATTCATCACGTATTTGTGTTGGCTCACAATGATTTCTCCGTCGCTCTGAGAAATCTCCATTCCTANTTGGCTCACAGTGATTTCTCCGTCACGTTGAGAAATCTCCATCCCTAGTAGTAGTTCCGCCGGTCCTCCATCGGTCATCTTGAACTTGTCCGATAATTGCTCCTTCAGGTCTTGTCCAACACTTGGTGTCCTTCCGGCTAGTGTGCAGTCGTCCACGTACTATATGTGTACTACACACATAGTATCGCATATATATGTCGGTCCAGCTCCGTACACATATACGCACGGGTCACTCAGTAGAGCAGTAAACCCGATTTCTTTAATCCCTTTATCAAATGCGTTGTCGAAGTTCCGAGGGCTCTGCTTCAGTCCGTTTAAGCTCTTCTTGAGCTTCATCACCAGTGGTAGTCCCGTAACTTCATCCGTTGTTTCGTATCCTTTGGCTTGACGAACGTACACGTCTTCTTCCACGTTGCTTTGACGAAATGCAGTTACCACGTCCATTGTTTCCACAACGTATCCTCTCTCCGCTGCAATCGCCATTAAAACCAGCTGTGAACTAACTCGACTCACAGGTGCATAAGTTCCTCCACAGTCGATGCCATGTCGTTGTCCCCAGCCTTGTACGATGAGTCTTGCCTTCATTACTCCAGTTGCTTTCATTTTGCACAACCATCTTGATCCAATAGGGTTAGCTCCAGGGGTAGACTTTGAATTGGGACTAGATCCGCCACATGAATCCTTTAGGCTCCTCATTTCTTTGTCCATAGCTGCTTTCCATTGATCGGCGTCCGTCCATAGACCTCATGGCTTCTTGATATGTAGTTGGTATAGGTATGGATGCTGGCGGCCGTATAGGTTCTCCAGCTGATGGCGTCTTGATCCTTAGGTCTTGGTCTTGATTCTGATGATCTCGATTCACAAAGTTAGCCAGTCTGTTCCAAGGCGATAACCGCCGTAGCTCGGCTTGTTGTCTTTTGTTGTTTCTCTCGAGTTGATGATCCATGCTCCTTCCAGCACTTCGCAGATTCATGCGGGTTGTTTTGTGTTCTTGTTCTTGTTCTTGTTCTTGTTCTTGTTCTTGTTCTTGGTCTTGGTCTTGTTCAATATCTTCATGTTGCGAATTATCCATTTCCCCCTCGTTTCCCGGTATGTATACGACATCCGAGGAAACAGATAAGTCGTTTTCCGTGTTGTTGCGCAATTCCGCCGCTGTTGGACTAGCCGGCGGCATGGCCGCATCCATCGGTTCGATGAATTTAACATTCCGGCTATGCACTATCCGCTTTGTGTGCGGATTGAACACCCGATACGCTCGGCTGTCGGGGCTATACCCTATCAGGATCCCCGGCCAAGCACGATTCGCGAGCTTGGACTTGTACGTCTCCAGGTGCACAAATGCCGTTGAGCCGATGACCCGGAGATGTCGTAGCGAAGCTTATTTGCGGCCTACGCCACTTATTTATCGGGTGAGACTGTTTTGGTGATGTATTAACTTCACGGGAGGTAGACGACCGTCCTTCACACGGACGAAA